ATTTTATAATATCACTTTTGTGCAATTGTGCTTTTAAAAGATTTTTTCCTTCATTAAATATTTTTTATTGTTTGTAAATTGACAAAATTAATTGCCCCAAATATTAGATTTCACCTACCTAAATTTTAGTTTCATAATTTGTTATATAAAATTAAATAGTAGTTGTCAAAAAATAACACTATTGTAAATGCTTAGCAAAAATCAAGTAATGGCACCCGTTCTACATTAGTCAAAGTTCAATTTATGACTTTATAACTGAATAGGTTAAACCATTATACATTCCATCTCTTAATGAAATATTTTATTTATTTAATAGAAAAACGATAGAAACAATAGTCGTAAAATATCTGCTGTAACCCGATCATTTATACAACAAATGATATTAATATTATAGTTTTAATTTTTATCCACTTAAATATATATTAATAATTTTAATATCTTAATTTAACATCTAAATTTATAAATAAAAATTAATGAATATCTACTGAATATTTACTTTTATAATATTCTGTTTTAAAAAAGCTAAGGTAAGAAATAAACTTCAGAAAACCTCAAATATAGTTAGAGCGTATGACAAAAGGGATGACTAATTAGAAGTTAAATGTTACCACTTACTGATGATATTATAATTGTATAAACCTAAAACTTTGGACGTCCAAAAAATATATATTAGAAGGATAAACGTTTCTCNGCAGAAGTTGATTAGAAGTGGTATTTAACCATCAACCTCTGAATTTATTGTATTTTCAGCTAAAAATAATAATTAAAATGGTTTACCATGAATATAGGTGTGGCAAAATCTGTAAATACTAAAGTAAATTAAGGGGACCTCAAAAACAGGTATTTTATCTTAATAGTATAGATAAGTAGCATTCAGTTATTATGAATTCAAATTTGGTTATTTTGGTTTTTGGTTTGGTTCGGAATACAATGTTATGAATCCAATAAATGTTTGAGTTCATTTCAATTATGGTTCCCATTTTTGGATAATTTTGAATAATTCAAATAAAAAACCATATAAGTATGATTTTGGTATAAATATCAGATAAAGTAAATAAATTTAATTTTTTTTGACAAAATATATTCATGTTTATAGCAAATGAGGATAATTAAAACATTTTGGATAAAAATAAATAGGAAAAACCTGCTTTGTGGGTAGTTCAGTTTATAAGTAGTGCTTTTAGAGTATTGATAATTTTAAAACTAAATATTATTTATATTTTTGGGTATATAAACTGTATTTTGGATAGTTTGGTTCATATTTTGCTTCGGTTTATATAAGAGTTTTTTTAGATATTGTGAGCACTGGTTTAGTTTTTGTTTCATTTTTTCGTCTAGTATCCCTTTTTATACGATTTGTACAGAAAAATATGGAAGTTGTTTTTTAAAAAAAGAAAATAAAAATTGCTTTTAAAAAACAGAAAATATGAAAGTCGATATATATTGTGGATTTATATCTTTTAAAAACGATATTCCGTAGGACTATTTGTAAATTAAAATATATATTGTATGTCGCTATTGAGTTTTGACGTATATAATTAAAAGTAATTTATATTGTTGTCTTATCGTAATTTATGTTGGGTATTTATGTACCGTTACATTTTTTGGATCGGTTTAGTTTGAGTAATGTTAGATTGGGTTTGCATTTATATTTTTCCGAGTTATTCGCGTTTGGGTGTTTATAACCCGTGTAAGAACCATATATTTTCCGGATAAGTTCAGTTCGAGTAATGTCGAATTCGGTTTGCATTTATATTTTTTTTGTAAAACCCGAAGTGAAACC